GTGAGTTCGTGTTCGCAGTTGCTGGTCTTTGTCTATGTTCATTCAGATGATAGCAAAGAAGAGTTGCTCTTTTGTGAAGATAGCATGTAGAACATAAATACGTTTTTTTTTAATTTGATGACTAAAATGGGTTAAAACGGCTGTGGGGGTTTGTACGGATGGTGCACTGTCTATGTTTATATCAAAATCGGGCTTTCAGAAAACAGAAAAGTTATAGCTCCCTAACCACTGCATGATTAGTAAAAGTCGTACATTTTATTAAATCTGGAACCTTAAAAAAAACTGAGCAAAGACATTAATATAGATCACGTCAAACGAATAGTTGTGATTCGTGTTTTTGAATTGAAATTTGAAATCAAATTGTTCTTGGAAGTGCAAAGGAAACTAGACCTTTTGGTATACTTAAAACGACATAGAGTGGTTGGAGAGATACATTCGAACATCAACATAAGCTTAACCTGAAGCTTCAGGAAAAATGAACGAATATTATCACTTTCCATGATAATCTCGGGGCATTTTTATCAAAGCTGCAGAATTGGCGAAGAAAACAAATCTTGGAAATATTGTAAATTTGAGAAACTCTGCAGTGTGGTAGATGAATCTGATTGTGAAATAATTAAAATTTGAAAGAAGCGATTTCTGGGCATCTTGAATCTATTGAAAACGAAATGCAGCGCTATTTTTCTGAGTAGAAAGAAGAAGAATCTGCATTGACGCATTATACAGTTCCTTCTTCCCTTGATGTTGCCAGCATTCCTGATGAATTACAAGATGAATTTTTTTATTTGCAGGATGATTCCGCGTAAGATGAAAAACTGCACACACATTTTTGGTGTAGTATTCACCCTTCATACCCAAACGTATTTTCGAGAATAGATTTTCAACACTATTTTCCAATTTAAAACAAAATTAAAAAATACATTTAATGTTGATAATGACATAGGTTGGCGTTAACAATAACTTCACCGCGAATGTTTAGTAAATAGCATGCAATTTTAATCATCGTATTGAAACAGTTATCAAGAGAAGTTCATATTGAATTTCTTCTAGAAAATCTTATTTTAGTCCTTATTAATGTCCATACTAATTTCGGCTTTTAATTTTGTGGGGGTCGTGGGTCACGTACTTTTTATAAAAGGGGGTCGCCACTCGAAAAAGGTTGGGAACCACTAATCTAGAGTATGTACTATTTTCAATTATTTTCTTTTTAAGTAAATTAAAACAACAGAGCTACACGGAGAGGTGTGTCGCTAACGTGGAACAAGATATAATTGATAAAATTGAACTTTCTCATCATGTCTACAATTCAATTTTTTAATTCAGCTAGCTGTTTGCAATTAAAATTTGAGCTTGATAATAATCTAAAATTTAAAAAAAAAACGTTAAACAATCATTTTTATAAAAATTAAAAATAATTTTGTTTTAATCTATACCAGGGGTCTCCAAACTTTTCAGTCCGAGGGCCGCATTACCTATCAAATTTCAGTTCGGGGGCCAGTTTCTTCCAGGCATGTCTGATTTTACTGGGCAAAGTTCCTCAGCCATCATCAACAAATGTTTTTTCCGTGAACAAAAAGAGCCCAGCGGGCCGGATGAGAGGACCTCGTGGGCCGCATCCGGCCCGCGGGCCGTAGTTTGGAGACCCCTGATCTAGATGAAAGGAATAATAGTTAATTATTATAGAATTAATGACAAAAACCCAAAGTAAAATTTAGAAGAGAAAAGAAGACCCTAGAAATTGTAATAAAAGATCATAATCCGCAGTATTATAAATTGGATAGGTATTGAATTAAAGTAATTTTGGTATTTTAGTGCAATTGAAGAAGAAAAAGGTATATAACTTAGTTTCCCTAACAGCTGTAGTTTTTATTTGGTTATTTCCATTTACAAAAAACCCGCGACTATGCTTAATAACGTTTTATATGATATCACATGAAATAAATGAGATAGTTAATGAAAATATCAAAAATATGTTAAACATAGAAAATAAGTTTAGTATGGAAAGAAGAAACATTGCAGTTTATTGTCAATGATAAAAGACCGTAATTGCTGTAAAAATAGTGATTAAGGTTAACAATAGTGTTGTTAGTTGGGGGTAAGATGGGAATCAAGGTAAACAACAGTAACCAACTTAAATACCTTACTATAAACTTGATTACTTCCACTACAAGTGGAGAAAAAAAATTAAAAAACATGTATATCTAATGTGGGTTTCGCTGTTTCAGAGAAAACACCAAATATGCATACAGACAAGAGGCAAGAAAAAAAAAAACCAGAGTTAAAATAAAATAAAAAAAACTATAAGCACATTCATTGAAAGGTTTTAGACATTTCTTTATCCAGTCTCCCCGACTCAAACCTAAACATTGAAGGAATGAGATTAGTATAAAAAGGGGGCAGAGACTTAGATCATAATTATGTTACCCAGTCTTTTGGTAACTACTGCTCTGAATATGGCATCTATGTCCATGTCGCTGTACGTCTTTAATTAAAATTTACTTTTGTTTCTCGTGGTCCATACTGTCTGCCTAAAAATAGCTGTAGCTGTAATTTTGTTGTCATTGTCTTTTTTGTTTTTGGATTTCTTTATATAGTTTAGGGTAATTGCTTTGTTTAAAGTGTCTGTGTTGGAGGCTTCTAATATTGTTCCTAAGGTATGTCTTGCTTTTAGTAGTGTTTTGCATTCTAGATAGATATATTTTTCTTTTTCTTGTATCTGTTGTTTACATATTTGACAAGTTATTTTTGTATTCGTGTTTGCTTTGGTGTTTCTGGAAATGGGTGTAGTGTTGTAGATGAGCCTGTATCCTATTTCTTTTTCTTTGTGTGTGTTGTTTCTGTTGTGTAAGTTTTTAAATGTGTCGCTAATGTCTGCTGTATTAAATTCTTTTGCCCATTTAATTCTATTCTGTAGGGGTTGTAGTTGTCGCTCAACTATAGTATTATAGATTTTCTTTGTTTTCTCCCCTATTATGTTTTTATTTATCTTAAATAGTTTTAAAACCTCTTTATAAAAACTGCCTATATCCACCCCCCCCCCCATAGTGTGGTGTCATATTGTTTGTCTTTAGAATCGTGTTTATTCTGTGACCAATGTAATATTGTGCTAAAGAGTGATAGTGCGGTTCTATTCTGTCTCTATCTAAGTGTTTGATTCTAAAGGCGTTAATTTTTGTGTTGATGTCGTGCAAATTTATACCTCCGTTTAATATATTCTGTATAAGTGTTTGGTGGTTAATGTTCCTAATTGTACCTTTGAAAATAAAATCCCTAATGCTTTTGTTTGTTTCCTTGATAAATGTGATGGGTATTGTGCTGTTTGTTGCGATGTAGTTTATTTTGGGAATGACGTATCTATTGACAAGAGCTGCACTAGTGAATATTGTAGTATTACAATTTTTGTATTTGGCTAGTGTGTGATTGATTTCGTCAGTCAGATTTGTCCATGTGTCTTTGTTTTCTGTCGTCGGGCTGTCTGTATATGTTATGCCATATAACTTTAGTTTGTCTGTCACTATAATAGGCATGTTATAGTTGTTTTTCCCTCCAGTTTGCCCAATCCCATTATTTTGTATTTCTGTGCGTAGAGGTGCGTGTGCGTGTGTGTGTGTGGGGGGGGGGGGGGGGTGGGAGGGTGACACCAGTAAAACAATAATTGTAAATTAGATGGTGTAAGTTTGCTTCAGTAATTTCAGATAACATGACATCTTAATTTTTTTTTTTTAGTCGTAGTGGGGGTATACCCGACCTGGCGACGTTTCAGCCTAGGACTTAAGGTATGTACTATTTTCAATTTTTTTATTTTTTATTTTTTTATTTTTTTTTTATTTTTTAAAAAATGTACTATTTTTAATTAATTTCTTTTTAAGTAGGCCTATTTTAAAGCAACAGAAGAAAATCGAAGTTTCTCATCATCTCTACAATTCAATTATTTAATTCAGCTAGCTGTTTGCAATTAAAATTTGAGCCTGATAATAATCAAAAATTAAAATTACAAAAGTTAAACAACATTTTTATAAGAAATAAAAATAATTTTGTTTTAGTTTACACTGTAAACAATGTTCCGTATCTTTTGCAATTATTTATGAATTTCTTTGTACATTTAGCTATTTTTGAGAGCAAATTTATAGGTCAGGGGTCGGCAACCTTTTGAGACGGAAGAGCCAAAAGTTGCAATTTACAAAATTTCCCAGTTTTAAAGAGCCACACACATTTTATATTTCAATATTAATTATGATATTTTATTAGGATTATATATATATATATATATATATATATATATATATATATATATATATATATATATATATATATATATATATATATATATATGAAGAGTTGATTTTCAAAATGCAATATATCCAAAATTTGGGTTTCGAGAAAATCGCACTTTTCTCCTACACGAAGCCATTGTACAATTTGCTAAAACTGTTTATCAATTTAGGTTCATAACCCTCATATAAATAGGACTAGAATGGTTTTTGAAATGTACCTGTATAAAAAGATGCTTTTTTTTGGTCCCAAAATTTGCGTTTAGTTGCAAAATGAGGTATATCCAGCTTTTGTTAAGCTACAAAACGCTGTATATCCATTTTTTTTTCTGATAATACATCTAATGTCCAATATTTTAGTTTATTATTTTAATAAAACCCACTTATATTCCCAGTGTTACCATCTTACTACAATTGTACCATGTTTTTCTGTTACTATAAAGTGTTTTTATTGAGTAATTTCAGTTATTTGAACCATTTTCAAAATGATGCAAGTCTCTAACGAGAGACTTTAATTTGAAGAGTACAGCTTGTCTTTTCTACTGTTGAACTGTGTTAACAAAGTCTAAAGAACTAAAAAAGTCAACATAAAATAGTTTTAAAAGAAGAAAAAAGTTTATTAGTTTATACTACAATCATAAAATGTAAAAGAAATAGTATGAAATGAAAAAAAAAAAAGGTTGAAAACAAAAATGAGTGAAGCAAGAAAAAATAAATAATTCAGACAAACTAGGCACTATCTACATCAGAGTTAGAATGAGCAACATCCTCAGTAGCATCACATAGCAGTGCCTCATAAGAAATCTTTATTCTCTCCTCCACTCCTACGGCTTCGAGAACACAAAGAACATCTGTCTTTTTAGCCACCTTTACACAGTTCTTTTTTCCAGGCTCCTTTGTGTTGAATGAATCCCAGTTTTCCCTAAAAAAGTGGATATATTAACCATGTATTATTAAGATAATTCCACTGTAACATTGAAAAAAGAGAATTTCCATAATCGGATAAACCTCGGGACAATAGTCAGTTTTTTATTGACAGTAACTGCAGTACGAGCAAATCCAATATAGCAAACTGAAGGTAAAGCTATTTACGTACACAATGCTGAACAAAAAGTAGACTGGCAAACTTGCAGCTTGTTTCCATCACTACAAAGAAAGTATTTGATCGTCATGTGTCTTGTTTTTTTCCTCTGATCATTGACTCTTTTTGTGGTGTCCGCATCAAGCAAAGCTACTATAGCAGCATCTTGTGACACTTTGTCCAGTTTGCTGTAAAACTCTGCATGGCATTTCACCAGGTCATCAGGTGTTATATCTTGAGCCTGAAATAAATAATACAAATGTATGTTTTGCTACAATGGAAGATTTAATTTTATATTAAAAATTATACTACTAGTTAGATCTAGTAGCTAGTGCTAGCCCCTTGCCTTGCTTAAAGTTATTGCTAGACTAGACAAACGAGGACATACAACCTAGATGAAAAATCCAAGTTTAGATATAATATTGACTAGAATTGTTAAAACTTTCGTCTAGCTAGAAAAAATAGTTTTTAGTAGGCCTAGATACTAGATCTAGATCTAGAATATGTAGTAGAGTAGATAATCTAGACTAGAATTAGATCTAGAATCTCTCCCTACTTTTGGAATGTTAAGCTAGAGCTGACAGTAGCCTAGACTTACTTGTATTCATACATTTACAATAATTTACATTCAAAACTTCACTCAACAAATAAAAGAACAAGCTAGATTTCTAAATTCTAGTAATACTATCGTGTTTAAAAAAAAGTAAACTCAGGCCTGCCTAGTGTTAGATAAGTTACAGTTTTATCTAGAACTTACCTTGCAGAATCCTTTAATATGATTACACGAAATGGACGGGATCATTCCTTCTCCTGAATGACGAAAGATCTTTTCTTTTTCTCTTTCTGTGCATGACCTCTTCTTTTTTCTGGACTTAAATGTCAGTACAACACTTTCGTCGTGACCAACAAAGTCCGCCATTTTAACAATTGTTTCACTTAGAGATGCTTAATGCGCATGCGCAGATAAATAGTAATATTTACACGGATTGGTCCGAATCGATACTGCATTTTGACGCTAAATAAAATCGACAATGCCGCGTTTTGAAACCAAACGTTTTTTTCAAAAAAAGAAATAAAATGAAAATTTTGCGCCGTGAAGATTAAAATTAAGTTTTCCTAATAGTAACTGAGTAGCTTTACAATATGGGCACCTTATCTCATTTTTTTCAAAAATGGCGCTTATCGCGTTTTGAAAATCAACTCTTCATATATATATATAATAGAAAGTACATTGAAATAGGGAGTAAATAAATATTCTAATTTAATAGCGAGTGTTTATTGTTTATATTTATTATTATATCATTCATCACCGAATGTTGTAGAACAGTATTTTTAATTTTCGGAAATAAAAAAAATTATAAATATTTGTGCATGGAGCTGAAGAGCCGCATCTTGACATCAAAAGAGCCGCATGCGGCTCGCGAGCCGCAGGTTGCCAACCCCTGGTATAGGTGATCCTTCTTGGTTAATTTAAATTTATAAATGGAAATTACCAAAGGCGAATTAATAAAATACATTTTCTTGATTCGTATATAATTCATCTGAAATTTAAATGAGCAAGATATACGCCTACATTTTCCATATACAAATGTATCTATGAATATAAAGGCTAAATCGGGAAAAAATGTTTCTTAGTTTGTATTTAATAGTCATGTATGTGGCTACGTGTTTAAAGCGAACTGACGTCTTTCATGAATAAAATAACATTGCTAATTTGATGCTGTTTTTAGAGGCGTTCGAATACAGGTACTTCCTTGTCTTCTCTATAGTACCGTTATAGCTCTTTGTAAAGAACATTTGATGCTGAAAATAAACCTATTGCTGAACAACTAATAATATTTTATTGCTCAACGCTTATATAAGCTTTTCAAAGTAATCTAACATTAACAAAGAGATAAACCTGAACCGAGATTCTATCAACAAAACTGTCAATATTCAAAACAAAAAAACAAGTTTGCTATCAAGGTATGCAATCTTTGCAGTGATTAATTTAACGCCGTTACGGTAGTATCGATCTTGTAGTTAGATTCGATATCCGACATGTTAGATTCGTTTCTTATCATGTGTTTATTAGATTCGATGATTTGTGGGATTCAATATTTTCAATTACTATATAGCCTAAATACTTATTGTATTTATTACATATTTATAGTACAAATTTAGAGTACCGTATTTATTTATAATACCGTATTTTTAGTTACCGTATTTTTCTTCATTTAAAGTACCGTATTCATAGTGCAGTATAGGGTAACTGTGTATACGTACATCAGGCTTTCAGGCACAGAAAGAAGTGCCGTAAAATATAAAAAACATGCCAATGCCGGGGTCAGATTAAGGGTCCCGTTCAAACTTAATCCCCCGACTGGCCAATCAACTACTGTAGTTGATTTATCTGTAACAGAAACCTTCAGGTTTCTAACAATTAAATTAGGAAATGTTCAAATGTTTTTTATTCAGATAAATGAATATTCTTTCATCTTTTGCTTGACCGTAAGTAAGTTCCCTTTTCAAACCTGACGGTCGATAGGGCAAGTGAAGTAGAGTTCACTAGTTTCTGTGACCTCGGCATATCAAGAGATGGTGTGGTCAGCACTATGCCCAGCCGCCTTTACTTTCTCTAACGTGATTTAGGCACCCATCAGAGTTTAGTGGACTAAGGGACGGTCTACTGACTTGAACCCGGTTTGAAACTCGAGACTTACGGGTTAGCAGTCTCTACCGCTAGACCACTCCGACCCCTTTGCTTGACCATAACTTTCATTAAATTCTTGACATCAACAGCATCCATAAAATACGTCACACTTCTAGCCACTGTTTCTTTGTGTCGTTCCCCCCCCCCCTCCCGGCGAGAAAAAAGTCTAAAGGAAAATCTTCTACGGGGAGGGGGATTTGTAATTTTGTGACGGTGTGTTATGGTGCAGGGAGAAGGGGGCTGAGATAGAGTGACGTCATACTTTTGTATTTATATATCGCATTTTAGAAAACTGTTTTCGTCAATTGTAATAGAAATTAATCAAAATACTCTATGTTGATCGAGGTCACTGAATATTTTTGAAAGAAATCGATGTTTAAAAAAAAATATTACACAGCAATTTTGAGGGAGGGGGGGGGTATGCTGGGGTGTGGCGTAATTTTAGGAGGGGTTTGGGTTTTTGTGACGAGGTGTGGCGGTGGGGAGGAATGGATTTTAAAATTCTCCAAAGAAAGTGTGACGTTTTTTAAGGACGACCCACATAAAAAATAATAAGAAGAAACATTGCAGAATTTGGATTTCATTTAAATGAAAGAATAAATTAATGATTCGTGGACTTTGTTTTTGGGGACCGGCTACATTTATTTATGTTGATATTGTGGTCCATACGTGACAACATTTATACATTCTTCATGACAGCTCATAAATAATATAAACATTTGTTTTGAAGTGACGTCACCACATGACCCATCGAAGCTTCTGGACAACCCTCCGCTCCTCCATGGGGACTTTAGGCACGTCCACCAGCACACAGCTCACGTTGGACACGTCAAATGCACGTGCATGAGCAGAAAACACACCAGTTACGGTAAGACTTCAACTTTTGCGTTGAAGACGAAATAAATATATATGTACATGTGTACAACACATCAATGGTGAGTACATGGTGAGTAGTTTATGGTGATACGTAGGGATATATAAATAAAGTGAGACTGCTATGATATAATTGATATGTATAGGGAAATGAAAAGTGAGACCGCTTTGATACGTGTAAGCATATGTAAATAAAGTGAGGCTGCTATGATATATGTAGGGATATGTAAATAAACTTAGATCGCTATTGTATATGTAGGGAGAAATAAATAAAGTGAGACTGCTATGAAATATGAAGGGATGTATAACTAAAGTGAGACTGCTATGAAATATGAAGAGATACGTGAAGTGAGAATACTTTTATACGTGTAAGGGTATGTAACTAAAGTGAGGCTGCTATGATATATGCAGGCTTATGTAAAGTAAGATTTGTTATTTGTATAAAGCTTAATAAGTGAGACTGCTATGATACGTGTATAGATATGTAATTAAAGTGAGACCACTGTTAGTTATGGTGCAGTATTTTCCCGTTATAAATTAAGTTTATCTACACCACCCCCCCCCCAGCCCTATACGTAACTACTAAAACAATGGAACACGGCTCTCAGCGTGACTAATGATCCGGTTATAAGGCAATTTAAAAAGTTTACATTTCTTGAAGAGGAAATCATCCTGCCATATGCCCTTGACCAGGTCAAAGTGTTCTGTCATTAGAACCGAGTCACCTGTCTCGACATTTGACCCCCCGATCACGTGGATCTTGTCACCTGTCCAAAAAAAATTAATATTAAAATCTCCTTTTTTAAAAGAACAAAAACAAAACCTGGTAAATCTAGGGATAGCTACCCATCTAAGAGAGAAAACTCCAAAATAAAACAACAACTGTTTTGTTTGGTGGAGAATTATTTGAATTTGTTGGGCCATTTGCTTTTCCAACGCCGTTATCAAAACCATAACCAACTTTATTACCAAAGTCATTTATAACACCATTACTAACAACACCCTTATAATAAGTTATATGATCAGCTATACGTTACTATTAAGTTAAATGTTCGGCCATACTCTTCTATTACGTTATGTTAAGGGCACTAAACTTCGATTAAGTTATTTTATGGGCAATTTACTTTTATTAAGTTATATGATTAATTAAAGCAACAGGGCTACACAGAGTGTTGTGTCAAGTCTGGATACATGAACCATTGTTGAAACTGAACTTTCTCAACATCTCTACAAGACAATTCTTTAATACAGCTAGCACTTTGCAATTAAAACTTGAGCCTGATAATAATTTAAAATTACAAAACAAAGAATATGCAAACCTTTTTATAAGACATTTAGAAATATTCTTGTTTTAATTTATACTGTAAACAATGTTTTATATTTTTCAAAATTATTTCTGAATTTCCTTGTATATGTAGCCTTTTTTTGGATCAAAGTTATAGGTTATCATTCTTGGTTTATGTAAATGTATAAATAAAAATTTACGTAGGCGAATTAATTAAATAATTTTTCTCGCTGGTAGGGGGCCGGGCTCCCCGCCTTGAAGGAGCCCACAAAAGCGAGCTGGTGGTTCCTCAATTCTTGTCTGTGAAGCCAGGGGCAAGGAGCTGAATGTTAAATATACTGGCCAATATAGTGATAAAAACATCAAAACACTTGTTATCCTGAAATGAAATACCTTGGAAGTTCCACAAGAAAAAGAAAGCTCTAAACGTATTTCCAAGAATTAGGAAACACACCTCAACACCAATCTTCACTTCTCTATTAGAGGATACACCTCTAGGCAACTCAGGGGAAAACCAAAAGGTATCCTCACCATAATAAAAGATGACATACCAACAACAGATAGCATTATAAGTAGTAAAATTCCCTTTCAAACCTGATTGTCTATATGGCAAGTGAAGTAATTTATATATATATATATATATATATATTTAGGAGTTGGGGTACACTCGACAATTATTTTCTTTTTAAATAAAGTAAAACAACAGAGCTACAAGTAGAGTTGTGTGGTTGAACATGTAAACAAGCAAAGTTCATTAAATTGAACTTTCTCATGTTGTCTACATTTCAATTATTTAATTCAGCTAGCTGTTTGCAATTTAAATTTGAGCCTGATAATAATATAAAATTAAGAAAACAAAGCTTAAACAATCATTTTTATAAGAAATAAAATAATTTTGTTTCAATTTAAACTGTAAACAATGTTTTGTATCTTTTATAATTATTTATGAATTTCTCTGTACTTTAAGCCATTTTTGGGAGCAAATTTATAGGTTATCTTTCTTGGTTAATTTAAATTTATAAATGGAAATTACCAAAGGCGAACTAATAAAATACATTTTCTTGATTCG